TGGTGCTGTGGTGAAATCTGCATTTTAGCTACATTCCTGTGCGTTCATGCAGTTAGCTGTCCCCTCCCTCCTCCCTGCATCACCACACTGAAATTCTGCTTCTTGCCCTTGAGGACTGCCTTTTGTGGAGTTCTCTCTCCTGATTGGATGAAGTGGGAACAGGATAACAGAAAATGTATTCTCTGTTTACAGCAGAAATAAATAATCCCTTACTGCACCTTTGAGAGAAGCTCTATGAGAGGAGATACATGACCTCTAACCACCAGTCCCACACTATGTTGAACATCCAGGAGCTATGAAATAGTTTTCTGTTTTTCTCATGGCAGCATTTTAAAACTCGCTTATGTTTATGGTGAAAATAAAATGCAAATCCATTCTACCAAAGCAAGGTCTCTATAATAAAACTAATCTAGTTTGGATTTTATATATATATTTTTCTCATTTTAAAGCCATTATGTTTTTGACTCCCTGTGTGTTTAAAAAATGGCACAAACAAAAAATGTGAAAGTTGCCATAATCACATATACAGAACATCCTGTGATGAATTCTTCCATTTGGTTTTGTCTGTCACTGACAGAGCGCAGCCAACAGAGTGAGACTGCTGAGTCTGACAGAGCTGAAGATGGAGAGAAAAGCCTCACAGCTCCCGGACCAACGCAGAGTCCTCCATCTGCACTGCCTGCTGAGACAGCCAGCGAGCAACCGGCTCCAAACAGCCTGTAGGCTTCTTCTCTTCATCCCCAAAAATCTGATAAATGGATGCAGAAAACTAATGTTGATTTACTGTTTCTCAATATATAAAAACCTGCTTCCCAGACCATCTCACTAAACTGTCTTTTCTATGTCTCTCTGTCAGCATCGTCCCTGAGGCCGTGGTGCTCTCCGGTGTGTTTCAGGGGACTGCGGCCACTGCAGACACTCAGCGTCCTCCTCTGAACCTGGACTTCCCTAACTGGAACACAAAGGCCACAATGGAGGACATGGAGCTCACCTGCCAGAGACCCACCACCGTCAGTACATCCTCTACATGTCATGGTTCCTCTGTGGTCGAGCATTTGCAATAAACTCTAAACTGTGCTGTCCTTGCGTAGGTGGTGTTGTCCGATGATTATATGGACGTGGCGGCGATCGGCGAGTGGGGGGAGCAGCTGGTCAACTCCTTCCTGTGCCACTGGAGAGACGGCGGCGACCCCGGACGACCCACGCAGGTCCTGTGGTGCAATCAGAGCGGGGAGAGCGGCCAGCCCTACGACTTCAAGCTGACGTTCGGCACCGCGGGAGGGCCGGGGGTGGTGTACGTGGAGGTAAAGTCGACAATAAAGAAGGAGAAGTCATTCATCCACCTCTCTGCCAACGAGCTGGACTTTGCACTGAAGGAGAAGGAGCGCTATCACGTATACAGAGTGTACAGCGCAGGAGACGCCCAGAACGTTCGCCTGTGTCGCATTCAGAACCTGGCGCAGCATCTCCACACCAAGGACCTGGCACTTTATCTGTTCATATGAGTCCTTTGTACATTTGTGGAGATATTTGCACTATATTAATCAGAACACTCATATGCCTTTTTAAGTTCATCCTTACTGCACTGATTTTAGTTCTTTTAACTGTGCACATGATACTTAGTGTATGTAATCGTTTCCTAATGTATGTTCAATAAGCACATTTTCCTTTGTCCAGAATGCTTTTTTTGCCAACTGCTCACAGCTGTGTGTTTTCTAGTACAATTTTAAAGTAACCAGTGGACATTCTGAATGTTTTTAACCTTTTTTTATTTCCCCTACCTCACCTTTACTCTAGCATTCCTTTGAAATAAAAACGTTATTCTGTCAGCTGAATGACTGAGTGAGTTTGACTGGTCGTACTGTATGTGAACAGACACACGCAGCCTGTTTTTATTCTTTAAATAAGCTCACAGGCGGCTCTAGTACACAATTAGCAATGAGGGATTCTGTCACCTTAACCTCAGCGACCACCAGATGAAGTGATTATAGCTGAGCTTTAAGTTAAATCAAGTGGAAGCGGAGCTGACTGGACAGGTCCCTCACAGGCTCCCATCATTCCTGGTAATTACACTGTCACAGTGAGCAGGCGGTACTTTGATCTGAACATCTATATGATGCTCACTTCCACTCGTCTTCAACCACTTACAAGGCTGTTTGACACAAATATTACTCCTTAAAAGAAAAGGCAGTCTGACATTCTGCAAAGTTCAAGCCTGAAACAAAACTGCCAACTGAAATATTTCCCACATTTTTATGACTGTTTTCAGGTTGTCCATCCATCAGACACCAAGATTAAAAAGTATGTTATTTAAAAATGTTCCACAAATCAATTATTTTATTTCTTAAAATAACATTAACATTAACACTATACATCCCCAGTCGACACCTAATTCTCCAGATCTACTTTGAACCAACCCGACAGCATCCAGTAAAGCTGCAGGAGGAAACCCTGAAAAACTACTGACCGCCAGTTGAAAAAAAAATTTACCAAAAAGATCATTTTGTTTGGTTTGTTCTGTGTTTAAAATGACATATTTGGTGAAATGTGCAGTATGACTTGTTAAGGACTCAGAACTGAAAGTTTAGGACTTGGTTCTCGAGTGCAAACACTTGAGACTTAATTGTAAAACACTCACTTGGTTCCACTTCCTTCGGGCAACCCATGTACTCGATGATAAACTGTTTAAAATCTGGTGCTCAAAGGTCAAGGTCACTGTGACATCACAAAACACTTTTTAGCCATAAATCAAGAATTGATCGCCATATCTCACAATTGGTCACTCGATGAAATGATGACACAGAGGTCAGGACACTGTGACCTCAAAATGACCTTGACATTTTTTTGGTCATAACTCAGGAACGGATGCGGTAATTGTGACAAAATTTCTCATAGATGTTTGACAGGATGCAACCATGAAGTCAATCTATTGTTATCAATATCTTCCACTTCCTGCTTCAAGCATCATCAGGATCACGTAACTGCAAACAACATACTGGGCGTGCCTATCTAATGGTGATCCT